GGACCATGGCCGCCGGAAGAACCGTCTCATTATCCCTGGCATTTTCCCCACGGGCATCGACTTTGAGCAGTTGAGAGCGGATCGCGAGAAGATTGTCTTCAACCGCATGAGCGCGAGGTACTCCGAGTTGAAGTCGCTCCCCGGCAACCTTGCACACTGGGATGCCTCCAAGGATTCTCTCATGGCTGATGACACGGCCAAGAGGAAAGCCATCATTGAGATGAAGAAGCTGGCCCTGTATTCAAAGCAGCGCGCTTTGAGGGACAGGATCGGAAAGCAGATGATGCACTACGACAATCTGGCCATGACCACTAACAGGTCCATGTACCGCCGCATGAAGAAGCAGAACGTCCGGGAAGCTCGCGTCACCGAGAAGCTTGAGAAGCAGCAGCGCGATGCGCGCGAGAACCGGGAGCGCAAGAGACACGTTGATTACCTGCAAGCCGTCTACAACCACCGCAACGAGGTCCTCAACGCGGGCCAGGCGCAGCGCGGAAAAACGCAGAGGCTCAGTCGCCACATGTATGCTCATCATTTCAACATCGAAAAGGAGGAGCAGAAGAGGATCGAGCGGACAGCCAAGCAACGTCTGCAGGCGCTCAAAGCCAACGACGAAGAGGCCTATCTCAAGTTGCTCGACCAGGCCAAGGATACCCGTATCACCCACTTGCTCCGCCAGACCGATGGCTTCTTGCACCAGCTTGCCTCCTCTGTCCGTGCTCAGCAGCGGCAGGCCGCCGAACGGTATGGCGACGACGGCGAGCTGCCCGAGGAAAGCGACGTCGAGGAAGAGGATGAGGAAAGCAGTCGTAAGATCGACTACTACGCCGTTGCCCACCGCATCAAAGAGGACGTCACCGAGCAGGCCAACATTCTGGTTGGCGGTACCCTCAAGGAGTACCAGATCAAGGGCTTGCAGTGGATGTTGTCTCTCTACAACAACAACCTCAACGGCATTCTCGCCGATGAAATGGGTCTCGGCAAGACGATTCAGACCATCAGTCTGATCACATACCTGATTGAGAGGAAGCATCAACACGGCCCGTACCTGGTCATTGTCCCGCTCAGTACCCTGACCAACTGGAACCTGGAGTTCGACAAGTGGGCGCCTTCGGTTTCCAAGGTGGTCTACAAGGGTCCTCCGAATGCCAGAAAGCTGCAGCAAGAGAAGATCCGCCAAGGCAGGTTCCAGGTCTTGCTCACCACCTACGAATACATCATCAAGGACCGTCCTCTGCTGAGCAAGATCAAGTGGTTCCACATGATTATCGACGAGGGCCACCGCATGAAGAACGCAAACTCCAAGCTGAGCGCCACAATTCAGCAGTACTACAGCACTCGCTTCCGCCTTATTCTCACCGGTACCCCTCTCCAAAACAACCTTGCCGAACTGTGGGCCATGCTCAACTTCGTCTTGCCCAACATCTTCAAGTCGGTCAAGACATTCGATGAGTGGTTCAACACTCCGTTCGCAAACACTGGTGGCCAAGACAAGATGGAGCTCACGGAAGAAGAGCAAATTCTCGTCATCCGTCGCCTGCATAAGGTGCTGCGGCCGTTCTTGCTGCGCCGTCTCAAGAAGGATGTCGAGAAGGATCTCCCCGACAAGACAGAAAAGGTCATCAAGTGCAAGTTCTCGGCCCTGCAGGCCCGGTTGTACAAGCAAATGGTTACGCACCAAAAGATTGCCGTCAGCGACGGCAGCGGCGGCAAGGCGGGTGCCCGCGGCTTGAGCAACATGATCATGCAGCTGCGCAAGCTCTGCAACCACCCGTTTGTGTTTGACGAGGTCGAGAACCAGATGAACCCCGCCAACGTCAGCAACGATCTCCTGTGGAGAACGGCTGGCAAGTTTGAGCTTCTGGACAGGATTCTCCCCAAGTACAAGGCGACTGGGCATCGTGTGTTGATGTTCTTCCAGATGACTGCCATCATGGACATCATGGAGGACTTCCTTCGGTTCCGCGGCGTTCAGTACCTGCGACTCGACGGTACCACAAAGTCCGAAGATCGATCCGAGCTGCTCAGGGAATTCAACCGGCCGGATTCGCCATACTTCATGTTCCTCCTTTCCACCCGTGCCGGTGGTTTGGGTCTGAACCTGCAGACAGCCGACACGGTCATCATTTACGACTCGGACTGGAATCCCCACCAGGATCTGCAGGCACAGGATCGTGCCCATCGTATCGGCCAGAAGAACGAAGTCAGGATTCTGCGGCTTATCAGCTCGGCATCCGTCGAAGAAAAGATCCTAGAGCGCGCCAGGTACAAGCTCGACATGGACGGCAAGGTCATCCAGGCTGGTCGTTTCGACAACAAGTCCTCTGAGACAGACCGTGATGCCATGCTCAGGACGCTCCTGGAAACTGCCGACATGGCAGAGTCCGGCGAGCAAGAGGAAATGGACGATGAGGAACTCAACATGATCCTCGCCCGGAGCGATGACGAGCTTGTCGTGTTCCAGAAGCTGGACGAGGAGAGGATAAACGACCCCGTCTACGGCACAGCGCCCGGTTGCAAGGCCGTCCCGCGTCTCATGGTTGAGGACGAGTTGCCGGACATTTACCTCAACGAGGGCAACCCGGTTGAAGAGGAGGTGGAGACCGTCCTGGGCCGTGGAGCCCGTGAGCGTACCAAGGTTAAGTACGACGATGGGCTTACGGAAGAACAATGGCTCATGGCCGTTGACGACGACGACGACTCGCCCGAGGCCGCCGCCGCGCGGAAGGCAGCCCGCAAGGAGAGGCGCGAGACCAACAAGCTGAAGCGCAAGGGCATCATGAACACGTCGATGGAGAACTCGCCGGCGGCCAGCCGCGCCAGCACCGAGGATGTCGAGACACCGGTCAAGAAGCGCGGGCGCAAGCCGGGCAGCAAGAACCAGGAGAAGCGCAAGGCCGAGGAGGGCGACGAGGAGCCGCCGGCTAAGAAGCGTCGTGGGCCGCAGGGACGCCCAAAGGCGGTTAGCCTGAACGGTTCCGACAGCCGCATGGCGCCCGACGTGCGCGACAAGCTGCAGAAGAGCCTGCGGCGCATCTTTGACGGCCTGATGAACTTTGAGGTGGACGATGACGAGCCCGAGGATAAGGCCGACGGCGACGATGACGGCCCGCCGAAGCGCCTCATCATCGGACCGTTCGTCAAGCTCCCGCCCAAGCGCGACTGGGGCGACTACTACCTCATCATCCCCAACCCGATCTGCATGAACGACATCCAGAAGAAGATCAAGAAGGAGGACTACCAGAGCCTGGGCGACATGCGCAGGGACCTGGACCAGATGGTGGCCAATTGCCGGACCTTCAACGAGGAGAGCAGCGGCATCTGCCAGGACGTGAATCTGATCGAGGTGGGCCCCCCCTTTTTTTATTGATCTCCTTTCCTCAACCTTACTAACCATTCCCTCTTTTTCAAGGCATTCTTCAAATCCCAATTCGAAAAAGAATACTCCAACAACCCGGACCTGCGCGCGCTCGATGACCCGTCAGCTGCTGCGGCCTCGTCGGCGGCGACAGCCAAGGACGGCTCGGTCGCGCCCTCGACGGCGGCCACGGACGGCACGCCGCAGCCTACGCCCAGCGGGCCGCCGACGCGGATTAAGTTGGTGTCGAACTCGGCTAGTGCCAGCGCCAGCGCGAATGCGTCCAACGGCGCCGGCAGCCAGGTCAATGGCGGGAGCAGTGGTGTGCAGAGCGACGTGGATTAGGTGTGGCCGGTCGCTGGTGTGTGATACACATCGACCCGTCCGTCGTTGGCTTGGTGCGGTTTTGGGTTGGGGTCGGTCGGGTTCGGAATGGAATGGAGATGGAGGTGGTCTTTGGGTGTGGTATGGTGGTGGGTTGGTGAATTCATGGGTTTTATGAGTTATTCGCTCCTGGTTTTTGTGTGTGCGTGTGTTTGATAAGGCGATTTGGGTGGGTTGGTGGGAGAGCGGAAATAGCTAGGTACCTATTGGGGCAATGGCGATGGCCGGCCATGCATGGCGTTTAGGTTTTGATGCTTGCTTGCTTTTTTTACTTATCCACCACCCCGCCCCTACCTTTCATTGAGCTAGAAGGCTTAGCGATGGGGGTGGGGAGGAGCCGAGGGAGGGAAAAGAAATAGGATGGAAAGAGGACAATATTCCTGGTTTTTGTGTGGTTCTTGTCAAGATAAATCGATTGATTCCGGGTTGGTTGATTGGGTGACAGAGGGGATGGCGGTTGAAGGGTGCTTTGGCGCTGGCTAGCTACCTGAGTTTGGGTGGAAGAGGTTGGCCTGAGAGGGAGGGAGGGAGGTGGGTTGGTTTGGTTGGTGATACACAGAAGTTGGGATGAGGGATGGGTTTATGGGTGATGGGTCATGTTTGAGTATTATTACTACCTACGTACCTAGGGTATTTCGTCCTGGTGGTTTTTGACGTGCGTACATACATACATGCTATTGACTACATTACATTACATTCCTTGTCTTGCCTAGGTATATTGTGCGGTGCGTATTGCATTAAGTGTGGTAGCGGCGGCGGCGGTTTAGGTGTTAGATACGAATATGTTATGGTAACTGCTTTCTACATTGTCGATGGTTGAGGGAGGTGGTTGAGTGTGGTTTCTGTAGTTGAGTTAGAGTTGTTTAGGCCTTTCGGTTGAGTTGTGACATTGGCCCCTTGCTGTCCCGCTTAGTTGGGTGGGAAAGGTGCATGTTTGCTAGCTGGCTATTTGATGGTGTTTTCTGTGTGTCTTTGGTTTCGTTCATGTCTCTCTCTCTCTCTCTGCTTGGAGGCTCAAGGTGCCTGACCACTTGGGTTGGTGTTCAATGCCTGACACCTGGAACTACTGTGTACTTTCGCTCTGCCGAGGCCCTTTCGTCTCCTGCCGACTCACCCTCTCTCAAGTTGTGTCTCCTCCGACTACAACAATCCCTGAATATTGCCTCACAATCCACACCCAAGTGTCCCCCCCCCCCTGATTGCAAAAAGCAGGAGAATCACCCCCTGCACGCGTGAGAGTGACAAGCAAAAGTTCAGCTGCCTAATACAGGAATCGAACCTGTGATCTTTGCATGTCTGTCGAGGAACCCCTGGGAGGGGTTTTGATACAAGTGCAACGCATTAGCCACTATGCTAATCAGGCATGCTTGCTTATTGGCTATGGTGGTGGTGGATACGGGGGTTGTGAGGCGGGTTTTTTGGTGGTGAGGTGAGTTTTCTTGTTGATGTACTTGGGTGAGAAGCAAGGAAAAGGAAACAAAGTGTGGTTTTGGTTTGTTGGTAGTAAAGTGTACCTGGTGGTATGGAATAAGTATGTTGCTGATGGTGGTGGGTGGGGTGTGGATGGGTAGTGAAATCACTCTCCTTTCCTGAGAAGCTCATTGAGAGATGCGAGCATTTGATACCTGCAAGGTAAAGTAGGGTCTTTTGTTGACAACCTCGACAGCCGCTGTGTCAGCCGCATGCTAATATACAACATTGGCGCGCTTAGTTAGGATAGCTGTATAGCTCTGTTGCCTGAGCCCATCCGATGCACATCAGCCCAACTCCGAGTCGTCCTGTAACCAAACGCCATGAACCCAGTAGTGATTTCTACTCTGTAGCCATAACCTAACCAAACGATAAAACCTCCAACGCCAAAACAATGCTTCCCACCCAGAAACCCCCTAGTGGGTAACGAGCGCGTTACTTATCCCCAACAGGGTCATGCCCAAAAACGCAAAAAAGATGCTCAGGTTCCGGTCGTGGTTCAGACTCAGGCTCTCGACAAACAACTGCAGCGCCACGCTGACCATGATTCCCGCGGTAACCGCAAAGAGACAGGCGTAGGCGGTGCTGTCAATCTCGAAGTTGGAGCGCTTGGCCAGCTTGAACCAGGCGACGGCCACGGCGGCGCCGAGCGGCTGGCTGAAGCCGCCCAGCAGCGAGGACCAGAAGATGGCCCTGACGCGGCTGCCGAGGGCCATGTACAGCGGCAGGGCCATGGCGAAGCCCTCGGCGATGTTGTGCACGAAGAGGGCCATGAAGACGCTGAAGCCCAGGGACGGGTTGGCGTGGTTGGTCGCGTACGTGATGAAGCCCTCGGGGAACTTGTGCAGGGCGATGGCGATGACGGTCTGCAGGCCGATGGAGAGGAAGGCGTTTGTGGGTACGTGGTGGTGGTGCTGGGCCTCGGTGTCTTCGGGGCATTCCAGGTCGCTGTCGTGGGCGTGGGTGTGGGCGTGTGCGTGGTGGTGGTGGTTGTGGTCAGGGTGGTGTTCGTCGTGGGAATGGGAGGGGGTGCGGATGACGCGGTATCGAGGGGTCGGGATAGGGCCTTCGCATGTGTCGTCGCAGCCCTCAGTTAAGGGGAGTGGTATTGTGCCGGATCGAGCTAGGGCGGAGCGTGTGCCGAGGTGCTTGAAGCACTCCTGGCCGCAGGGGTCTGAATAGCCGTAGCAGGGCCCGTCCTCGTCGCAGTTGGCCTTAGTGTCCTTGAAGAAGGACATGACCCGGCTCCGGACGTTCATCGAGGGCCGCCTGATCTGGGTGGATGCGCTGCGTTGGGAGCCGTGGAAGTGAGTGACGGCCTCGGCTGCCGGCGCGGCGTCGCCGTTGAGGAGTTCGGTGTGAATATGGCCGTTGCGCGGAACCTCGGCGGGAATCAGGGGGGTGGACTCGGTGGCGCCGTTGTGTAGCTCGACCATGTGCGGACGGTCAGCGGGGGCCGGTCGTGGAGATGGCTTCGGCAGAGAATGGGCGTGATGAGCGCCGAGCTCCTCGTCGGCGAGGTTGTCGTGGGTGTGGTCGCAGTCGACGACGTGCGAGGGCATGTACTGATGCAATACGCGCGAGATGACCTGGATGCCGAAGAAGCCGCCGATGAAGCAGCTCATCATGACGAAGCCGGCGGCCTGCTCATCCCACTCGTCCTTGGCGAGGTAGCGCATGGCCGACGGCAGCATGCTGTAGAGGGCCGAGAAGAGCTGGGCGGTCAGCAGTGCCCCAGGAAATAGGAATACGTAAGTACACACCATGACGCCGAAGCTCAGGCTCAGCGACGAGGCCAGAAAGGCGTTGCTGTCTTGGATGCGGAAGTGGCGCTTGCCCGGGAGCAGGCGGATGGGGATGTCGATGCAGATGGCGGATGCGCCGGCGATGCATGCGAGGCCGCTGAAGGCGCACATAATCCAGCCCCGCGTGTCGTTGTCCATGGCGGCGGTGTCCATGACGACGGCCCTAGATGCGAGCTTTCACTGTGTGAAGAGGTTTCGGCGGGTGGCGTGAGCCTCGAGGTTGCAGGATTTAAACTATTGGCGGCGGCGTTGAAGTTCAACGAGGACACGGCAGAGTGGATTGCAGGACGGGAGGACAAAGGAGAAATCAGTGGGCGAGGCAACAAAAGATGCAATTGTCATCCGTGAGAACCTCGATGGCCATGCTTGAGCATTTTGGCTGCCACATTCTGTCGCCTGCAGAATGGGCCAACGCTAACTAGCACCTGCAGCGGCCGCCGGCTCTGGGCCTGGACAAGGCATTCGAGGCCGGGCAATTCCTTACAAGCACCTTACCTAGTGGGCAAACTCGGGGCCAGCCTTGAAACAAACCGGGAGCCACCAGGCCGCCCAGCTGAACTTTTAAGTTGGATTTTACCCGCATTCACGGCGATAACAAGTATGGAATGGATGGATTCCATCCTCGTCCTCGAGGCATCACCACTCCCGCCACGCCAAGTGCAGTGTAACCCCCGCGCTGTGACAGGGGTGCGTGTCAGCCCTGCAAGCCCACAGCGAGTCGGCGGGCAACGATTTGCAACGGCAGGCGGCGACGGGCACGGCCGGCTGCTGGCTGCCACCTTGATGGCCGGGCCATGACTCCGGCAGCATCAGGTGATTTGGAGCACCTTGATGGCTGCAGGCACTGCCAAGTGCAAACCGTGCAGATTGTGAGTCTGTGACCAGTTAGCGCCACATTAGACTGCCTGAAAGCCACGTTTTTGATTGTCGCAAGTCACAACCGTGGCTTTGTGGGGTCGCGCCTGTGGGTCTCAAACTCCACGTTGAAGCTCGACGCCGTGCAGGGGTCCCGTCTTGAGCGGGAGCTCCAGCAAATTTCCAGCAGAAGGCTGAGACAACAGCGACACGCAGCTTCAGCCTCGACAACTGCCGAGCCACCACACCACGGCAGCCGGCCAGACACTACCTAGTAGTTTGGAGGGAAAATGTCGAAAGCCACCATCGCCGTCATCGCGGCCGTCAGCGCCGGCGCCGGTGCCGCCGCCACGGCCGCCATGTTCTCGATGCGCTCCGACAAGAAGCCCGAAGGGACAACCACCACCACCACCGCCGTCACCACCACAAGACCCGGGCCCCCCCCACTCCCGGTCCCCGCCTCCCAAGTCTTCAGCGCCCCCGTCCCCGCCGCCGCCGCAGCGTCTCCCACACCCCCGACCGCCCCCGTCAACCCCGCCGGCCTCTTCGAGTACGGCTTCCCCGGCCCCACCGCCGACCTCGCCGCGCGCCAGGGCCTGATCTCGTCCTACGACCGCCGCACGCGCAACCCACACTGGGTGGCCGAGCACATCACGCCGGCCTCCCTCAGCATCCGCGACGGCGACCGCAAGCACAGCGCCTTCCTCGAGGACGGCGCCATCCCAGACAAGTTCCAGGCCAAGCTCAAGGACTACTTCCGCTCGGGCTACGACCGCGGCCACCAGGTGCCCGCGGCCGACTGCAAGTGGTCGCAAAAGGCCATGGACGACACCTTCTACCTGTCCAACATGTGCCCGCAGGTCGGCGAGGGCTTCAACCGCGACTACTGGGCGCACTTTGAGGATTTCTGCCGGCGCCTGACGCAAAAATACCCCAGCGTGCGCGTCGTGACCGGCCCGTTGTACCTGCCCAAGAAGGACCCGCAGGACGGCAAGTGGTACGTCCGGCACGAGGTGATTGGCAACCCGCCCAATGTGGCGGTGCCGACGCACTTTTACAAGGTCATCTTCGCCGAGGAGCAGGCCGGCGCGCCGGGAGGCAAGGTCGCGCTGGGCGCGTTTGTGCTGCCCAACGCCGTGATTCCCAACGAGAAGCCGCTGGGCGACTTTGAGGTGCCGCTCGAGGCGGTCGAGCGGGCAAGCGGCCTGGAGTTTGCGAGCAAGCTGTCCGTGGCGCGGCGCAAGCGGCTGTGCGCCGAGACGAGCTGCTCCGTGGTGGTGAAGGAGTATGCCGAGAGGCAGAAGGCATTTGCGAAGAAGTAGGGTTGTTGTAGGGATGTGTAATACTAGCGTATAGTTTCTGGGAGGGCGCTTTGGTGGCTCTGGGTCAAGAGCGCGTGACCCAGATGCCAGGGGAGAGGCCGAGCTCTGATGTTGTTGCGGGTGTACATAAATGAGCCTGGGTCTGTACCATAGACTATAATCACAGTAATCGAAGCCACGGGCAAATACCAACACTCGGTGCATGGCTAGACACGGTCCATTCTCGCTACCTATCGAGGATATGTCCCTTTCACCCAGTGCCAGCCCAAACGTTGAACCCCCCATCTTCCACAACCCGAAAAAAGAGCCCCATTGAATCCCACGTTGATCTTCTACGCTGCATTTTCCCTTCCAAAACCTAGTTTGGAACCCTCCCCAACCCGCAAAATTCACCAGGTAGTTAGTTAATACAAAACAATCCCACCCTCACAAACCCCCCCTTCGACCACCGCCCAACATCCCCTCCCCTGCTCCATCCATAGACTCGCCTCCCGCCCACACTCTGAAGCGGCGCCCTCATCTCACCCTCAACATTGCCATCCCAATCCCACCTATCTCACCCGCGTATAATGCCCCTTACTCTGCTCCATCCTCAAACTCTCCTCCTGACTAGGCAGCGGCGCCCTCCGTCTGCCCCCGGCACCACCGTCACCATGCTGCTGCTGCTGATCCCCATGACCACCACCACCACCACCACCTCCCCCTCCTCCTCCTCCCCCCACCGCCGGAGCCACACCCACACCCACACCCACACCCGCACCCGCCAAGAGGGCAGGCGGAGGCGGCGGAAACCCATGCGGCAGCGGGAACCCAGGCGGCGGGATCAAACCGGGGGGTAACATCCCCGGCGGCGGCGGCGGCGGGGGCACAATGCCATGTTTCTTCATCATTTCCGCGATGGCGGCAAAATC